TTAACCTCTGAAGTGGTGTCGGAGCCAAGAGGCACCAGGCAGACGTGCTGCCAACCCTCCTGCCACCCCAAGGCACCCAAATGCCCACGGGCCAGCTCCAAACCCCACGGCTGGCATCCCACGGCTGGCACCAGTCAGCGACGGATACCCCGGCAAGGAAACAGACCACCTCATTATCCGGGCCCCAGATCATTTTAGGATGACAGCTACCTCCGGAGATAAGAAAGAAAAACCCACCCTGCAGCTGCAGGGGGGAGGGAAGGAGAAACCACTTCCACTGCCAGAGCCGGGCCAGCCCTGGTGCTGTGTGCTGCAGGGACAGCAGCGGGAGGGAGCTGTCCCTGCCCAGCCCCACTGCCCCAAAACAGCTCCCCAAAAACAGCTCCCCCAAAACACGGCTCCCCCAAAACACGGCTCCCCCCCCAAAACAAACAGCTCCCCAAAACACGGCACTCCCCAGCCCAGGTAGGCAGCACACTGAAGGGCAGGACCAGCAGGGCCAGCTCAGGTGCCAGCCTGGCAAGGACCCTGCGGGTGGCACAAACACCCCAAAACGTGTTCCCATCTCCGCCGGCTCCGTGTGCACTGGGCTGTGCAGGACCACAGCCCATCCGTGCAGCGGGGCCCCCCCACTTCCCTTTTCTGCTGTACCTGCTCTGCAGCGCTGTCCTGCTGCCCCAGCCCTGGCTGGGGACACAGCACTGCCCTGGGGACACGGCTCCAGCCCCCAGGGCTGCGGTACCACGCACAGAAAACCCTCCGAAATCATGTTTCCAATTTCTGCAGCATTATATAATTAGCATCATTTGTGTTGCAAAAGTAATTGCAGTAACATTTTTAATTAGTCTATTTGAACACTAACATTTCTCCAGTGTGCATAATATGTTGACATGAAATTACTGGGTTTGAGGCAAGTCGGAATGATTGGAGTTTGTTTTGCTTTTGTTTCTTACTTGTTTAATCCAGTCAATAAGAGCGGTGCGAGCCCAGCCCGCAGAGCGGCTGAGCTCAGTGGAGAGCAAAGTGTGATGGGTTTCACTTCCGTCTGGGGGGAGGAAGGGTGGCTGCTGAAGGCTCTGAACCAGAGAGAAATACTTGCTTGAGAGGTAAGGTCGGGGTGACATTTCCCAGCTGCTCAGTTCTGGGCTCAGATGTTGACTGGTGAAAACACAAAACAGAACGAGAGCGCTGGCCTTGGAGCGTGGGGAGAGGAAAACCTGGAGGGAGGAATTCTGTCTGGTATAAAGTTTGGAAGGAGATCTAATCTGAAGAGTCTCTTTGCTTACTGAGTCACAAGCAGGGACAAGAAGTAAACACTCTCCCCAGAAAAGTTCCTGCATGGCACCCAACCACACATTACCAAATTACGCTTTTTTTTTTCTCCTTTCTCTTCAGGAAAAGAATCAAGATTCTCCTTTCCAAGATCTTTTCTACATTGTACACATGAAAGCAGCGACAGATGCAGGTTATTTTTTGCTCCCAAGTGTGAATCATGTTCCACTGCTCCTCACCTCTGCCCAGCACAGCGACTCCAGACTGAGCAAACCCAGCTCAGAGACCACGTCCCCCTCGGCACCCTGCCCCACACAGGGCCAGTCCCCCTCAGCACCCTGCCCCACACAGGGCCCATCCCCCTCGGCACCCTGCCCCACACGGGGCCCGTCCCCCTCAGCACCCTGCCCCACACAGGCCCCACGGGCTGCCCGGACAACAGGACAATGCCCCCGGGATGCCAAGGTGGGGAAACCCGAGCAGGAAGGAGAGAGCTGCCAGTTCCCAGCAGCAGCACATTTCCAGAAGGCGACCAAGAACTTCACTCTCGAAAGCTTTCGGAGCAGTTCCCTTTCCTTCAGCATCCTCCAGCACTTGTTAGTCAGGAGAGCCAAGGCTCGGCCACGTTCCCTCCCCGGCCTGCAGACACCGAGGGGCTGCTCCTCCTGTTCACTCCTGGTGCTGCTGCTGTTCCTGAACCCCCAGCCTGGCAAGGGGAGAACACCCCCCCCTCCTTTCCTGAACCCCCAGCCTGGCAAGGGGAGAACACCCACCCCCCTTTCCTGAACCCCCAGCCTGGCAAGGGGAGAACACCCCCCTCCTTTCTCTCCGTTCCTGAGAAGTTTCTGCTCCTTCCAGCTGCAGCAGGGCCAGAGAGCCCCTCTGTACCACGGGCTGAGAGAGCCAGGGGGCACCGAGCCTCCCTGGGCAACAGTTCATCTTCCTGGCAGCTCCAGGCACATCCTTCGGCTTCCAACACCCACGAGATATGGATTTCTTTTTGTTCAGCCGCCAGGAGCAGCCCTGCCCACACCCAGACACTTTCTGGCTCACCAGAGCGACGTTGGCCCAGGAAGTCTTCAGATGCGCACGAGGATAAGGAGGAGATCGTGTGCGCGGATAAGAAGCAGATTAGCAGGCAATTAAGTGGCATTTTGTGCTATCCATTAGTATTTCAAGCTAGAAGAGTCAGTTTCTGCTAACTTCCTGCCAAAAGTCACAAGTAATGAGCTAATTAACAATCTAATTATTGCAAATGCCCTAGAAAGAAATCAGGGCACAGGTGAAAACCTACTTAAAGCGGGCACAGCAGCAGGAACAGCTGGGAGCAGGCAGGCTGTGCCCAGCTGCATTTCCAGCCATCCCGCGGCACAACGGGCTGAACCACTCGGGGAAGTGGCTGAAGTTGAATTAAAGCTGTGCTCAGTAAAGGGAGAGAGGCAGAGCCTCACTCCAGAGCTCCCTGCCAGCCCTGTGGGGCTGAAGAGCCCCAGCACAAAAGGCAGCCCTGGGATTTTCTGCCTCCCGGTCGGTATTTGCCAAGTTCAGCAGCAGCTGCAGCGCAAACCCAAAGCTGCTGGTCCCTGCACAGCCCGGCACAAGCACAGCTCCCCTGGCACAGCTGGAGCAGGGCAGTGCCAGCCCTGGTGCCCACGGTGCTGCCTCCCACCAGGACAAGCCCCAGGACAGATGGCAGTGGCAGAGACCCCTGTGCTGGCTTCCCGAGCTGGGAGTGCCCTGCAGGGTGGCACGGTGTGCCCTCTGCCCTGGGCACAGCCGAGCTGCCCTCGCCCCGATGGGCATCCCCACGGCAGCACCTTCACCTGGGCACCCCAGCTCCTCACGGGTGGGCTCTGGGAAAAGCCACACATCACCGATCTGAGGAAAGGAAAGGCCGGGCTGGTGTGCAGAGCGCAGTCTGCAGGTTCCCTGCTGCACAGCCAATATTCCCCACGGCACACGCGTGTCTGTAACGCCGGGGTGACCTGCAAAGGGGGCTCTGAAGGCAGAAAGGGACATCACAGGGCTGTCACACACCCCTGGGGGTGGCACTGACACCCTGGCAGTGCTGCTGCTGTCACTGCCCCACCAGCCAGGGCTGCACTGCTCAGCCACCCTGAGCCCAGCTCCACGGGCTCACCTGCTGCCCTGGCACTGAGGGCTGATTTAACCCTGCCTAAAAACACCTGAGGAAAAACCTTGAGGCAAGAGCACAGCTTCGGATAACAGCTCCTGACAGCTGGGAGAGACTTGGAAAGGCGCCAGTTTCCCAACACTGGATGCTCCAGGTAGACCCAGCAGGGCTCTGGAAATGATGCAGGCAAACCCTGCCGGGCCAGCACGCGCTCCCCACCTGCCCCACAACACACTCCGGATTTCACAGACACGCTGTTTGCACAAACACAGCTCACTGTAAGGAAAGGCAGGGAATTCACAGCCAGGAAAGCCTGGCAAGACCCAAACCAGAGATCGGAGGTGCACAAATTTCCTCTCAGCAACGTGACTGAACTGCCCATGTGTGAAACCTCAGGTACCAGGGGAAGCTGTGACCTTGAGAAACAGCCCTAGGATACATTTTCGTCTCCATATCCACTTTCCTCTGCCTGCCAACACCTGTCCAGGCCTTCAGGCTGGGGTTTGGGAGGCGGCAGGGAGAGGGCTTTGGTATTTTAAGGTTCTATGCGTGTGGCAAGTGTTAAGGATGAGTAGCAGCATCATTTCCAGTGGATCAGCCTCAGGCTGCTCGCACAGGCAGCTGCAGGGATGCTCTGAGAGCCAGAGCCACCCAGCACCTCACAGCGAGGGTGCCGCTCCAAAACCCCAGGACAGCTGGGAAGAGGAGCCTTTCAGAGCTCTAAAGCACGTTTGTTTTCATGCCAAATACCTCAGCTTGGGAGTCAGCCACCCACCAAAATAAAACTCTGTCCCAAATATTCACAAAAGCAGAATTTCTCTGCCAGCAGCTGCGAGCACCAGCCCCGTTTGAAGCACACACAGGTGGGACCCACGGGCCAGGGCGAGCAGGAGCAGCCCCAGCTGGGCTGGCTACAACAGCAACCAGATAACGCCCGGGTAATCCAGCCGAATTTCCCGGGGGGACATCCCGAACCCCTGAAGAGCCTCTCCAGAATCCCAGCATTAGCAGAACAAAGAATTATGGTCATAGTAACCCGGCTACTGCAACATATTTGATTATAAAGCCTCGTTTTTTTCCCCAGCAACACAACCGAGCCATTCAAGCCCCCGCCGGCTGCGCAGTTCCAGGCGCGGAGCAGCCCTCGCCCAGCCCGTTCGCCAGGCAAACACATGTTTTGGTGCTAAGTGCATTAAAAACAAACTCCCCTCGGCCTTTTTCGGGGGATTTAGCCGAAGTCCTGGGCGCTTATCTCTGCTAACGAGACCCGACCGGCTTAAAGGCACCGACTAGTTGCTGGGTTGATTAAAAAAATGACTAAGCTGCTTCCCGGTGTGGCGGGGATGCTCGGGGCCGGAGCGGCGGGGATGCTCGGGGCCGGAGCGGCGGGGATGCTCGGGGCCGGAGCGGCGGGGATGCTCGGGGCCGGAGCGGCGGGGATGCCGCCCGCAGGGGATGCTCGGGGCCGGAGCGGCGGGGATGCCGCCCGCAGGGGATGCTCGGGGCCGGAGCGGCGGGGATGCCGCCCGCAGGGGATGCGGGGCCGGTCCCGGGGGAGCGCGGCCCCTCAGTCCCCCGGCAGCGCCACACTCACCTTGACACTGGAAGCCCTGCTTGCCGAAGCCCCTGCGGAGAGAGAGGCGGAGTGAGACACCGGCCCCGGCCCCGCGGCGCGGCGACCCTGCCCGGGCCGGCGGCCGGAGGGCAGCGGGCACCGGGGGGACCGCGATGGGACGCGGGGGACGAGGGGAGCCGGGACGGGAGGGGAGGAGAGGAGAGGAGAGGGGGGCCCGGAGGATGGCGAGCCCGAGGAGGGGCGTCCCGCCGAGCCGGCGGCCCGGGGAGAGGCTCACCAGATGAAGTCGGTGCAGTGGCTGCAGAAGGTGGGCTGCTTGAAGAACCGCGCCGTGAACTTGTGGTTCTTCACCTCGTGCACGTTCTTCTGCCGCAGGGCGCCCTTGCGGGCGAAGCGCACCGGGCCCTCCTCGCCCTCGGGGGCCGGCGCTGCCGCGGGCGGCTCGGCCATGCTGCGGGGGCTGCGGGCCCGGCCCGCTCCGCTCCGCTGCTCCGCGGGGCCGCCGCCGCTCGGGCTCGGGCTGCGCTCGGGGCCGCGCTCGGGGCCGCTGCCCGCAGCTGGCGGGAGTCCGGCACCGCCCGCGGGACACGCCCCCTCATTTACATGCGGCAGCCCCGCCCTCATCTGCATCGCCGGACACGCCCCCGGCGTCTCGCGGCACCGCAGGCCCCGCCCCCCGCGCGCGCCTCCCGCGATTTGCATGTTGATTTGCATGGGGACCTGCCCCGCCCTTCATTTGCATAGAGCGGCTGCATCCCGCGGGAATGCGCGGGGACCACCGGGCACGGGCAGGGATGGACACCGGGCACGGGCAGGGATGGACACCGGGAATGGGCAGGGATGGACACCGGGCACGGGCAGGGATGGACACCGGGAATGGGATGGGATGGACACTGGGAATGGGCAGGGATGGACACCGGGCACAGGCAGGGATGGACACCGGGAATGGGCAGGGATGGACACCGGGCACGGGCAGGGATGGACACCGGGAATGGGATGGGATGGACACCGGGCACGGGCAGGGATGGACACCGGGCACGGGCAGGGATGGACACCGGGAATGGGATGGGATGGACACCGGGAATGGGATGGTATGGACACCGGGAATGGGATGGGATGGACACCGGGAATGGGATGGTATGGACACCGGGCACGGGCAGGGATGGACACCGGGCATGGGCAGGGATGGACACCGGGAATGGGATGGGATGGACACCGGGCACAGGCAGGGATGGACACCGGGCACGGACAGGGATGGACACTGGGCATGGGCAGGGATGGACACCGGGCACAGGCAGGGATGGACACTGGGCACGGGCAGGGATGGACACCGGGCACAGACAGGGATGGACACCGGGAATGGGCAGGGATGGACACTGGGCACGGGCAGGGATGGACACCGGGAATGGGATGGGATGGACACCGGGAACGGGCAGGGATGGACACTGGGAATGGGCAGGGATGGACACCGGGAATGGGCAGGGATGGGCACCGGGAATGGGCAGGGATGGACACTGGGCATGGACAGGGATGGACACCGGGCACAGGCAGGGATGGACACTGGGCATGGGCAGGGATGGACACCGGGCACAGGCAGGGATGGACACCGGGCACGGACAGGGATGGACACTGGGCACAGGCAGGGACAGACCCCAGCCAGCAGCCCGTGTGTGGCAGGGCTCTGGGCAGGGTCACCAGGGCAGGGCCATTGTCCTGTCCCTCTGCCCCAGCCGGCGGGTGGGGGAGCGAGCAGGACTCAGTGGGAAGTAGAAATGGGTGTCTCTGTGCCAGCCATGGGGACACCTGCACTGCCCCATGCCCACTGCAGAACGGGCAGTGACACTGCTGGCTCCTCCTGAGCCCCAGACTTCCCACTGTTAAGAACAGAATCTTTTTCCTCCCCCGATTTTCTGCAGAGCACGAGTCAAGCCCAGAGGGGATCCCGGCAGGAGCTCGGGCACAGCAGCTGTGCCAGGCTGGGCGCTGGCGTGGCCGTGCCTGGGGGAGCAGGAGGTGGTGGCCACGAGCTGCCCAGGCAAGGCCACGCGCCCGGGGCTCGCACCCAGACACAGGGGCACAAACCACCAGCTCTGTGGGCCTCTGGGAACGATTTCTGAACTTGCAGTTGGAATAATGATCCTTTACCAACCCACTGCAAGCACCTCAGCTGGCTGGCACAGAGGAGTTTTCCAACCACATCCACCTTTCATCTCTCTCACTGCCTGACAGCACCCACGGACACAGAAAATCAGATCCATCAGCCTCCTCCTCTGACACCCAGGTCTCCCCGGCCCGCCTGGTGCTGCATCGTCCTGCTCTGGGTGCTGAGGAGGTGAGAATTCAAACCAAAACACGAGACAGCTCCAAGTGAAACGTAACCATGTTTCCATGAACAAGTCTTTATAATTCTCATTTCTGGGATTTAATTCTGGATCTGCATCCACGTGATCCTGCCCCTTTTGAGGCCTGGGACCGTCCCTGCTCTGCTGTGATCCAGCCCTCCATCCTACGTGCTCTTTCTCTGAAGAAAGCCCCGCTCACTCCATGGAATTAAACACCCAGGAGGCTTTCCCGAAATAGGCCCAGGGCTGTTATTATGCAGCTGCTTGGAAGGGTTCACTGCAGTAATGAAACAGGGCTGACCCGTCCTGCCCATGCCACCCTCCCAGGAGCAGCAGGCTGCTTCCATCTCTCACCGTCCGCTTTTCCTGCTAAGGAGCAGAAATCAATTGCAGCCGTCCCTGCTGCTGCTGTGCCGTGCTGGGAGGGGACGAGGGGATGAAGGGACGAGGGCAGGTCCCCGGGGTGTGTGGGGGCCACACGTGGGGTTCCTGTGCCCAGCAGCACCGGCCACGCCGCGGGGTCCCCCTGCCCCGGGAGCCCCGCTCGGTGCGGGCTCACCCAGGGAGCTGTGGAGCAGAAATAACTCCTCCTGCACGGAAAGGAACCCAGCAATAATGGGAATAATTACAGGGCGTTTTCACTCCTTCCCTCTGCGCTCTTTGAGGGGAGAGGGGTGTTCCCCTCAGCGCTGTGCACTGCACGTGGAGCCACACCGGGCTGAATTCTGCTCCTTTTTACTGTAAACTCCGGGCTTTGCCTGTTTCTGCCTTGTTGTTTTTTACTGTATGTTCCCATTTTCCAAGGACAGCCCCCATAACTGCTGCGTGTGAAATGCAGAGAATATGGCTTTAATTTCCCCCTACGAGTGTTGATAATCATGATAATCATGCTCAAACTTTTGTCACTGCTGGGCCACGGCACAAAAGTACAAAAGCCAGGTACAGTTCTTGCTCTCAGGGGATTGCTTTCTTCTTTCCTTAGTTTACGTAATTCTACTTAATTTTCCTTTTTTCATTATTTAGTGCTCTCTGAGTCACGTCATATGAAAGGCAGGATCTTCATGGCCATGTTCATTTTCACAGAAGCTGAGGATCAGATCCCCCCAGCGCTCGGAGATGTCGGGATAAGATCCCAGCAGCTCCTTCCTCTGAGGAAGTTGTTCTATTTATTAATGCAAGGGCAGTCGCCCAGGTGTGTCAGGGGCTCTCACACACAAACAATCCTGGGCAGTCGCTCTCGGGGGACCCCGGCGGTGGAGCAGAGGGGAAATGGGCCCAGTTCATTCCCGTTCCCATCCCAGTCTGGTTTCTAAGGCTGTTTTCCCCCCTGGCTGTTCCTGCTGCGAGAAAGCACCAAAAGCCACCCAAAAGCGCTGTGGGAAGAGTCTCAGTGCCTGCCACACTCGTGGAGCTCCGAGGAGCTGCCAAACCCGAGCTCCTCTGCTGGGGCTCCCCAGCTGCCGGGGCACAGGAGCAGCGGGAGCCGGGCAGCCTCCCCTGAGCCGTGATTCACATCCTCAGGAAGGGACCTCATCCTCCCCTCCTCATCCTCCCCTCCTCATCCTCCCCCTCCTCATCCTCCCCTCCTCATCCTCCCCTCCTCATCCTCCCCTCCTCATCCTCCCCCCAGGCAGCCCAGGAGCTGCTCTGGGCAGGGGGAGCTCGGAGCGGCCACAGAACTCGTGTTGGGAAATGTGGGAGCAGAGAGCAGAGAGCCCGGCGGGAGCCTGCGGGGTCTGGGCCAGGAGTCCGGAGCATGAAATTTCCCAGGAAAATCCCACAGCCCAAACCCCGGGGCTCAGGAGCCCAAAACAGAAACCTTGCCAGGAAAATCCCACAGCCCAAAGCCCGGGGCTCAGGAGCCCAAACCACGAACCTTGCCAGGAAAATCCCACAGCCCAAAGCCCGGGGCTCAGGGGCTCAGGGGCTCGGCTCACACCGCGGGATGTGCTGTGCTGGACAGCTCCAGCTCTGGGCCCCACCCCACCCCACCCCACAGCCAGTCCAAAGCCCAACAGAGTCACATTCCCCAAATCCAGGCGGAATTCTCCCCGTTTCCTTCTCCCGGAGCACCCTGCCAGCCCTGCAGCCTCCAGCCCGCGCTGCTGTGGGGACACTGCTGCCCTGCTGCCCACACCGCCTCCCCTGAAGAGTTCAGGAAAGCTGGAGAACAGATTTCTCTCTTTTTTTTAATCTCTTTTTCCTTCGGGATCCAAATCTGCCACAGGAAACAGGTGGAGGAAAAGTCCAGCTCTAATTAGATATGGAGGTGCCTGAGCAGCGCTCGGCAGCCTCAACATCCGTTTGTCCTCTTGCCCTCACCCAGCGTGCCAGGAGGGATCCTGGAGAGGGGACAGGGATCCTGGAGAGGGGACAGGGATCCTGGAATGGGGACAGGGGTCCTGGAACAGGGATCCTGGAACAGGGACAGGGATCCTGGAGAAGGGACAGGGATCCTGGAACGGGGACAGGGACCCTGGAGAGGGGACAGGGATCCTGGAACGGGGACAGGGACCCTGGAGAAGGGACAGGGATCCTGGAACAGGGACAGGGATCCTGGAGAGGGGATCCTGGAGCAGGGACAGGGATCCTGGAACAGGGACAGGGATCCTGGAGAGGGGATCCTGGAGCAGGGACAGGGACCCTGGAACAGGGACAGGGATCCTGGAACAGGGACAGGGATTCTGGAACAGGGACAGGGATCATGGAACAGGGATCCTGGAACAGGGACAGGGATCATGGAACAGGGATCCTGGAACAGGGACAGGGATCCTGGAGCAGGGACAGGGATCCTGGAACAGGGACAGGGATCCTGGAGAAGGGACAGGGATCCTGGAGAAGGGACAGGGGTCCTGGAACAGGGACATGGATCCTGAAACAGGGACATGGATCCTGGAACAGGGACAGGGATCCTGGAGCAGGGACAAGGGTCCTAGAGCAAGGACAGGGATTTCCTTAGGCAGAAAATCCCGGTCCCTCCGAGCCCTGGAGGATCTTGTCGCTGCTCACAGCAGTCGCTCCTTCAGCCCCCACTCAGGGGCTGCTCGGGGGGTCCCCGGGGGCAGCACAGCTGTGGTCAAACCCCCAAACCCCTCGGGACAAAGGGCCCGGGGGCAGAAGTGCAGCTGGAGCCGCAGCTGGAGCCGCAGGGGGACTGGCCCGGGTTCCGTGGG